GATATGCAAGTTTTCAGTGAATGCAAGTACGTCTTGAAAACATTTATTATAGCTTTCCTTCATATCTCTTACCCTGAACTGTATTCTGGACTGTGTTTGTGGGTTGATTGCGTGCATTTTTTTTTTTTAACCAGACTAAGTTGGGTAGTGGTTGGATGGATGGATGGCAAGGTTTATCATCTTCCTGCTTATAACCATCTCTAAAAGCAAGAGCCTAGAAGTGAACCTTCCATAGGGTTGAAAAGCACTGTCACCTGAATTGCTGACCAGATATAGATAAGCCTCCAAATTAGTCCCGGGTTTCAGAGCTTGTGTTAACATGAGCTGGAGGAAGGAACACACCATCTATTCAAAGTCTCACTTGTGTTCCTGGAGACCCAGTGCCGTTTTTCCAACAGTTGGGGTGTCTCCTTTCTCATTCTGAGAAAACCCCTAAACCATGTTTCATGTAGATTTGTTTGGTGATTGATGGTTTTAAACTCTGGATATAATTGAACTGAAAATCTAGCTCACTGCTTACCTACCTTTTCATCTTGGTTTAAAAAAAATTTTTTTTTAACATTTATTTATTTTTGAGACAGAGAGAGAGCATGAACAGGGGAGGGTCAGAGAGAGGGAGACACAGAATCTGAAACAGCCTCCAGGCTCTGAGCTGTCAGCACAGAGCCCAACGCGGGGCTTGAACTCACGGACCGCGAGATCATGACCTGAGCCGAAGTCGGACGCTTAACCGACTGAGCCACCCAGGCACCCCTCATCTTGGTTTTAAATCATTGTCACACATCTCCATTCTAAACATCAAGGTTGGAATTGGAAAAAATGCTTGGTTTCTGCTTTTTTCATGGTATCCTTAAACTTTTTGACGTCCATAATTTCAATAGGATTTATCTTATACCCTCTACACACAACCACCAATGAAGGTTTGTATTGATTAGTATGCAAATGAAGGGACTACACAGCCAAGCTACGACTGTTAATTTACATTAATCTGAAGGGTGATGTCAGAATATAGAGGGCGTTGGAGACTCATAGATGTCCTACTTCTTCGTGGTGCTTAATCTGTTTTATATGTTTCTGGATTTTATTTGCTAATAGTGACTTAAGGATTTTCATGTGAAATCCCACATGGGATATTTGTCTCTAGTTTTCTTGTGATATTTTTGTCTTGCTTTGGTCAAAGGGTAATAGTGGTCTCAGTGAATGAGTGGGAAAGTTATTTTCCCCCGGTTTTCTGAAAAAAAAAAAAATTGTGTAAAATTGGTTCTTCTATAATCCTTTTAATTTGGGTTGTTGTTGATGTCGCGTCTTTCATCCCTGTTTTGGTGTTCTATGTCACCTTTCTTTTTTTCTTTGCTTAGCTATAGGTTTACCAATTTTGTTGATTATTTTTCCCAAAAAACTTTTGGTTTCTTTGATTTTCTTATTGCTTTTCTGTTTCCTATTCCATTGATTTCTTTCCCCTCTGATCTTTGTTTCCTTCCTACTGCTTGCTGTAGATTTAATTCATTCTTTGTCTACTGTTAAAGTGGAAACTTAGATTATTGATGTGAAACCTTACTTTTCTAATATAGATATTTCAACTTCTGAATTTCCCTCTAAGCACTGCTTAAGCTGTACCTCATAAATTTTGATATGTTGTGTTTTTGTTTTCATTTAGTCAAAATATTTTCTAATTTCTTCTTTTTTGAAACTATGGGTTATTTAGGAATGTGCCACTTTGTTTCCATGCATTGGGTATTTTCTGAATTTATTTGTTTATTTTTAATTTATTTGTTGGAGAATAAACTCTGAATGATTTGAGTCCTTTCAAAGTTTTTGAGACTCCTTTTATGGGCTAGCATATGGTCTTTGCTAGAGAACCTTTCTTTCACATTCATCTGAAAAGAATACATATTCTCTCATTTGGTGGAGTGTTAAAAAATGTCAAGTCAAGTTGGTGACAGTGTTACTCAAGTCTGCTATAGCCTTGCTGATTTTCTGCTTGCTTGTTCTGTTAGTTACTGAGAGTAGAACATTTGTAATTTCTAACTATAATTGTTAAATTGTCTGTTTTTTCTTTTCAATTCTGTCAGTTTTTACTTCATGTATTTTGGGGCTGTTTTTAACCATATATACCTTTATATTTGGTTTGTCTTTCTGGTGTATTGACCTTTTATTATTATAAAATGTCTCTCTTTGTCTCTAATGATACTTCTTGTCTTAAATTCCATTTTGTCTGGTATTAATACAGCCTTTTCAGTTCTCTTATAACTGCTTATGTGGCGTATATTTTTTTGTCCTTTTCCTTTTAACCTATTTGTGTCTTTCAATTTGAAGTGGATCTTTGGTAGTCTGCATGTTGTTAGATCTTGCTTCCCCACCCCCCCACCCCCCCCCACCACACACCACACACACATATAGTCAGATAAGCTTTGCTTTTGGATTGGAGTATTTCAGTCCATAAAAGTTAATAAAATTATGGTTGGCTTTACATGTGCCATTTTGCTATTTGCTTTTCTCTATATCTTATGTCTTTTTTATTATTGGATTACTCCTGTACTCCTTATTTTGTATTAAACATGTTTATTAGGGCATGCGCCACTTTAATTACTCTTAAGTTTTACTATTTTTTAAGTCATTTTCTAAGTGGTTGTTGTAGGTATTACAATAGGCATCTTAACTTATTACGACTACTTCAGATTAATATTGACTAACTTCTGGTACTTTGTTCCAGCATAGTTGTATTTCCTTACCCTTCTTTTGTGCTATTAATTGTCATATATATTACATTCATATTTTATTTCATATATATATATATATACACACACACATATACATATATTTATATCCACACAATATAATTATAATTATTGCTTTATACACTGTCTCCTAAAGAATTCAAGAGAAGAAAAGAGGCTATATATATATATGTATACACACACATATAAAAGAATATGTATGTTTAATATTTATTGTTTCTGCTGCTGTTCATTTTTTCCCACGGATTCAGGTTACCAAGTCTGTCGTCATCTCCTTTCATCTAAAGGACTTTTTTTTTAGTGTTTCACATAAGTATGCCAACAACAAATTCTCTCAGCCAGTCTTTATTTTGGAAAATACTTCAAGTTAATTTTTGAAGGATAGAGTTTGATGGATTTAGAATTTTTGGTTGCCACCAGCACTCCTCACGTCCACCCCACACTTTAAATAGTTCTTTTCCCTGCCTTAGGGCCACCATTGTTTTCCTGTTTGTGATGAGTTGTTTTTCTCCTGCTGCTTTTAAAATTTTCTCTTTGGCTGTCAATGGTTTGAGCACTGTATGTCTAGGTGTGCATTTGTTCTATTGAAACTACTTGGGGTCTGTTGAGATTCAGGGATTTGTATATTAATATTTTTATCAAATTAGGGTTTTTTTAAATCATTGTTCTTTTATTATTTTCTCTGCCCCTTTCTGGGGTCCTTAGGTATATTGATACCCTTGGTGCTGTGCCACAGGTCTTGGAGGCTCTGTACATATTTCTTCAATTGTTATTATCTTGTGTTTTAAATTGGATAAAAAATTCCTGTCTAGGAATTTTCAGTTACTGTTTTTGACTCTAGAATTCTCATAGATTCTTTTTAATAAGAGCTGGGTATTTTTTTTTTTTTTTTGAGATTCTCTGTTGATTTACTGTCATATTTATTTCCTTTAAAATTTTTTTTAACATTTTATTTATTTTTGATAGAGAGGCAGAGCACAAGTGGGGAAGGGGCAGAGAGAGAGGGAGACACAGAATCCGCAGCAGGCTCCAGGCTCTGAGTTGTCAGCACAGAGCCCCATACGGGGCTCGAACTTACAAAACCGCGAGATCATGACCTGAGCCAAAGTCAGACGCTTAACCGACTGAGCCTCCCAGGTGCCCCTGTCATATTTCCTTTTAAGTCTTTAATCATTGTTCCCTTTAGGTTTTTAAACAAATTTATAATAGTTGCTTTGTAGTCCTTTTTTCTTATTGTGGTATGGACATTTAACATGAGATCTATGAACAGTTATTTAAGTGCACAATACAGTATTGTTAACTATAGGCACAAGGTTCTACAGCAGATGTCTAGTACTTAATCATCTTGCATAACTAAAATTGTATACCCGTTGAACAGCAACTCCCCATTTCTTCCTCCTGTCAATGACCATTCTCTCTGTTTCTATGAGTTTGACTGTTTGAAATATCTCATCTGTGTAGAATCATGCAGTGTATGTTCTTCTGTGAGTTATAGTCTTTACTCATTAAATTCAACATCTGAACACATAGTTTCTCTTGATGGTTTTTTTCTTGAATATGGGTCACACTTTATTTTTTTTTTATATGCTTCACACATTTGTTGAAAACGAGATATTATGTAACATAGTATAGCAACTCCAGATTTGACATTAGTTCCCCTGACGGTTGTTGCTGCTTTTGTTGTTATTGTTAATTTGTTTGCTTTGTAATTTGCCTGGACTTAATCTGAAAAATCTCTCTCCTGCCATGTGTCTGCTGATTTCTCTGCTCAGTTATTTTAGTTTGTAGTTTTAGTTTTTGAGCCTGGCTCTTTTAGAGGATGCCCCTACATATCTATAGTTGAGTGGTCATCCAATGGTTAGTCAGAGATTGTAGTCAAAAGCCTTAAGTCAGTAGATCTGTCCTCTCCTGATGTATCTGTAGGTGTATGAGGTATGCATTCCAAGTTCAGGCAAGTTTTTTTTGGTCTTCCCCCACTTTTACTCCCCCCTGAGCCTTCCCAGGTCTTGTGACATGTGTTCACCCTCTCTGTCAGCCCAGGGATATGTGGAGAGCTTAGGCCCTTTAAATCTTCCTTATATATGCATGCAGCCTTCTGCTCAGTTACAGATATGCAGAGAGCATATTTAGCCCCTCATTTGCAGTCTTCTTGCTAATTTTTTCGTTAGTCTGCTGGATTCAAGTCTCACATGGGACCATAATCTCAGGCAAGCTGAACTATGCACCTTTTTTTTTTTTTCCGTCCCTCTAACTTTCCTGTTTTTACTAACAATACCACTGGGTATGCACTTCTTGCCTTCCACTCCAGATCCGGTGAGCCCACCCTGGAAGAGGAACTGTTAGTTTTCACTGCCATCCCTGTCCTGTTAGCATTACCCACCTTATCAAGCTGGAAAGGAAAATGGAAATAGCCCCAGGTAAGAATGCCTCAGAGTCTCCTTTTCAAGTTGTTATTTCCCTTTTGTTTATTTCCAGAGCCCTGAAAAGGTGGTTTTTGACTATCTTTTTTTCTAGTGTTATAGTTGCTTTGGGGGGAGGAGAGGAACTGTTGGTATCTTACTCTCCCAGAAGTTCTCTTATTTTTATCTATTCTGCTAAGTTCTTTTCTATGTACTAATTTTTCCTTAATGTTATCTTGAAAATTTGTTATCTTGAAAAACTTTATAATCCATAGAAAATAAGCACCTGTATATTCTTCATTTATATTTACCAATCGTTAGGTTTCTACATTTGCTCTATATTTATTTGTAAATATACACACATGCATATGTGTAATTTATGTGTTTTCTCTTAACTATGAAAGTTAGTTGCAGGCACCATGACTATTCATCATCAAATACTCAAGAATGCATCTCCTAAGAACAAAGACATTTTGCTACATAAATACAGTTGTCATATTTAAGAAATTGTATATTGATAAACATAAACACTATTTAAATTCAAACCGCTCCAATTGTCATAATAATGTGTGATAACATTTTTTTTTAGGTTTTTGTTGTTCACCTTCAAACCAAGGGCTCGCTGATTTTCTTCCATTATGAAAAATATTCAGCCATTAAATTTCATTCACTACATTTTTACAATGTGTAACAATTGCTTCTTTAATGTTTTAAGGGAATATAGCACTTACCAAAACAGATGAGTTTTATCCTCATAGCTCTCATATTGTAGTCGGGAGAGACAGTTAATATACATAATTTATGGAGTATGTTAGAGGCTGGTAAATGCTATGGAGAAAACTCAGGTCAGGCAAGGGAAAGGAGGAGTGATAGAGAGGTGGTCACGAGTTTAAATGGAATAGTGGGGGTAGATCACACTGACATGGTAACATTTGGGTGAAGAATTGAAGAAATTGAATATAGCTTCACCATTTCATATATTCTCTGCTTCAGGAAGTCTCATTAAACATAACCTCATTCTCTGTGTCTCTTAGTTGTTCTTTTGTATATTTTTATCTGTGTCTCTCATGGAATTCCTCAGGGTGGTCTTCCGGTTTGCTAACTCTTTGTGTATTCCATTTATGGAGTTTTTAATTTCACGCCCAGAATTTCTGGTGTATGTACCTATACTTTTTGTGTAATTTCTGCTTATTTTGTTTAGAAATCTTTTCAGAGACAGTACATGTGTGAGCAGGGGAGGGGCGAGGACAAGGGAGAGAGATTGAGAATCCCAAGCAGGCTCTATGCTCAGCACAGAGCCTGACGCGGCGCTCAATCCCATGATGCTGGGAATCATGACCTGGGCCGAAACCAAGAGCCGGAGGCTTAACCAACTGAACCACCCAGGCACCCCTTGTTTAGTAATTTTTTAAAAATAGATTCTATTTCTATTTTTAGGACTTAAAAATACTTAAGGTTACTTCTAGGGTAGTTATTGATGTCACTTGGGAGTGAGGTTCTATCCAAATTGTTAACTTTTATTACCTTTCATGGAATTCATTTCCCCATGTGTATGTAATTCTAGCTTGTGGTATAACACTGAAGATGACGTTTTTTTTCTTCCTTCTGAGTTCTCTCCATCCGCCCTGTCTAGATTTTTGTGGTTGCCTCTGCCTGGCCCCGTGTTTCCCCAGTTCGGGAGCAGGTGTCACATAGGTGGTTTCTGGTCCATTAGGGGTATCCTCAATGCAGTTACTGAGCCAGCAGGCAACTTGGCCACAAGGCTCTGTCTGTATCCTCCAGGCTCTCTAGGTACATAGTTTGTATATAAGTGGTGGCCTCAGGCAGTGATTGTTGTTTTCAGTCACCCTGGGCTAAGGGAGCTCTCCCTCGGTTACTAGTTTAAATAGTTAGCTTTACCTTTCTCCACTTTAGGTAGGACACTTGTAATCCTTGATACTCTGGAGAACTCCTGGCCACCTGTACTACTTTTGGATCCAGAACAGGTGAAACCTTACTTTTCAGGTCCTCAGAGATACATTGGTTTTTAATATCTTGTCTTTTGATTTTTTTCCATCGCTGCTGTATGTCGGCAGACGTTGAATACTCCCCACGTATTAATTTACAATGCCATCAATGACTGAAAATCTGCTTTGCTATAAATTCTGTGACCTTTGGCTATTTTCTTAGTGTCTCTGGGTCTCAGTGTCTGCTATTAAGATTGAGGCATGTCTCACGACTAGTTGATGATTTGGGTAAATTAGATCTAAGGGTGTATGAAGGGGAGTAGTGGGAAAAACAGCTGGAAAGGTAGATTGAGGCTAGATCATGGGTGGCCCTGAATGCCAAAGCAAAGAATGAGAAATTCGGTTCATTGAAAATGGAGAGTTACTGAAGGTTAGGTAGCATGATGTAGAGAGATTAGTGAGACCATGCTGCAGGAGGGCTTGGAGGAACAGAGGAAATAGGCAGGAAAGCCAGGAAGATGATATCTTGGTACAGATAGACAGGAGCCAGTGGTTGTGACTGTGAAGAGGTGACAAGATTGAGAAGAGTACGGCAGTAGGTTTAACAGGACCTGCTGCCTGATTGAATGCAAGATCAAGGGAAAGAGAAGCACCAAAAGGGGTTTTAGAACCTAGGTGATTGTGAAGATTATTGTTCCATCTACACGTATTGAGAAGTCAGGAAGAAACGAGGACACGGTGCTTTTTAGTGGTTGTGCCTTCCATTGAATACTGCAATGCCCAGCCCTTTGATGGGCACACATTAATGATGATAATTACTTTGCAGACACTAACTTCATGCTGAGTGTTGTGTCCAGCACTTCATTAGCTCATTTAATCCTCAGTACAGTCTTTTGAAGTAGGCTCCATATGGTCATTTTTTGGATGAATGAAATTTGAGGCTTTATGGTCATTTTTTGGATGAATGAAATTTGAGGCTTAGAGGGGTTAAATATTTTGCTCAAGTTTAACACAGTTGACATGTGGAAGAGCCAGAAGGGTCACACGCAGGACTTTTTTTTTTGTTTGTTTAATAAATTTCACTTAAAATAGTTACAGATTTACAAAAAAAAAAAGTTGCAAATATAGTATAGTCAGTCACCATATACCGCTCACTCAGATTCCTCTATTGTTAACATCTTCCATTTGCCCCACCTAAGGAACTGATTTCATCTAGGTCTTTTTACTTTTTTTACTCGAGAGTCCAAATACTCCTAATCCCTCTACTGTCTTTATTTCACTTGGCTTATGGGTGAGCTGGAATTTATTGTAAAGGAGATTTCTTTCCTTTTCCCTCTCCTCCTCCTCCTTCCCTATGCTCCCAAGAAGGAAAATGAGTTCAGCAGGCTTCTCCACATGTGAAATCAGTTTAACTCGCCTTCTTCGTAGGATGTAGGGGGGAAAAAAATAGCTTTTATTCTTTAATGGAGGTTTATGGAATAGGACATTATGTGGAAGTTATTTTGCAACCAGGAATTCACCAACACAACCGAAGAACCTATAATACAATAGGACCATTTTTTGTAATTTTAAAATTCAACCAGTAATGGTTCATCTAAAAAGAAAAAAGACATTTAGGAATTTCCTAGCAGTAAATATGCCATTCTAAAACTTCTTGATATTATTATAACAACATTTTTCCTCAAGGACCAGGACAGCAAATTAATTAGAAATCAAAATGGCAAATGTCATTAAAGAGAAATTTGATTTTTAAAAATAATATAAACGGAATGGCTTCTCCTATAAAGTTCGGCAATAATACAGAAACTTTGAGATCAAATTAAATTTTGTATTTAAAATGTCTGATGAATAAATTGAATAGAACCGACAAAAATGTGGTTTTTAAAATTATTTTTGTTTTGATTCAGGCATAGTCCTTGTTTGAAAGATTTTGTCTCCTCACAACAAAGTTGATTTCACAGTTTCATTAATCATGTTGTGTACATAATGTACTAGACCAAATTCTGCTTCCTGTATTTCCCCAATCCTTTGAACTCCAGGAACAGTTCATTTTATAAGAACAGAGGGTGAACCCAGTTCATGCATGATCACAATGGCTCTATAGGTATTAATGGTTTCATTGGTTGCCAGTTTTTCTGGATATTTTTGTACAATATGGTGCAATTTCACAATCTACCCTGCAAAGTCTCTAGCAAGACTTTGTTCATTAAACAGTTACTTTGGTTCTTGGATGCTCAACTATTCACATAATGATGCTTTCTGATATTCCCATGAGTTCCAATCTCTGTTGTAATTGGTTAAAAGTTTTTCCAGATTCTCACCTGTCAGTTTTCTTAAGGTTTAGGCTATGTGTAAACACAAGTAATAGCATATGGTTTTTGGGTGTCTATAATGGGCCAATTATCATAGTACTCTGTACATATACTTTTGTCCTCATCCTTCCAACAGCCTTTCAAAGTAGATGTTTTTATCTTCATTTTACAGTGGAGAAAGAAATGAAGGGGCTTACGGAAGGACTCTCACGCAGCTGAGCAAGTATCCAGAGTGGCGGTGGGATTACTTTAAGGTGGCTATGAACCCAGATGTTCACCAAGCATTGTCCATAAACCTAAACCATATATATCTCTAACACTGATGCTGCTTCTTTCCCTGAAAATATATGTAGATGCTGCTGTATCATTGATAAGAGGCCTGTGTACTAAAAGTGGTTAGGAGTTATTGCACTGTCCTAAAGAGATGCCTTTTTAAAACCAGATTAGGTCTGTGCTGCATAGCCCCAATCCAGTTAGTGCAAACCATGCTTTTCTCAGGTTAGAATAATGAGGAAGTGATTAGGATCAAAGATGGTTTGAATCTATTACATCACTTGCCAGGGAGCCTAGATTCCACATCCAAAAAATAGGGATATGTTGACTGTGTACACAACATTATCACCCACTTCTTTTTTCTTGGCAGAATGTGTCTGTTCCTTTCCCGCAAGATGCTGTCCCTACTGAAGAGCTAACTCATGTTTAGCATGAGCTAAGTACATTGGCCCCAATTCCTATTGCCAGTGATTGGTTTAGGATGGGCATATGACTCAGTTCTGGACAATATGATAAGAGAAGGGCTGGAGGGCTTTTGGAAAATATTCCTCCCTAAATGGTATCTCCTACATTGGAAAGAACTGATGTACAATGACAAATATGTAATGTCTAGATCAGTGATGAGAGCCACTTTCTAGATGTCCTACCTAATAAAAGCAATTTATCTTCTTCAAGTCATCTCCTGAATAAATATTGTATGAAGTTTATTTTCAAAGCCCTTTTCCTTGGAGCAAATCAAAATATTTCCATGTTTTTGCCCACTCCAAAACAAAAATGAATAACAGAAGAAATGCTGAACATGCCCCAAATCAGAATATGTAAGGTTAACCTAAGAGGCTTCCTTAGAAGAAATGAAAAATTTTGTTGTTCTTGGAGGAAGTCTTCAAAGATTTTAGAGCCAAACACATATGGGTATGGGCAGTGTTGGGGGGCGGGGGGGGGTTGGGGCACGGGTAATGGAGTACGATGGTCAAGGAAGAATTCTTGAGATGTATAAACTCAGTAAGTTTATTTAAGTAGCGCAGGGACTGGACCCACAGGCAGAAAAGGCTGCATTTTTGCTGTGTGAAGCTGGTGGTTATATGTTTAGTGCTCAAGGGGGAGGGAACATGCAGGGAGTATCAGAACATAAATGTCTTCTTCTAATCTCTACTCATAAAACTACTTTCGCAAGATTTTTCTGGTGCTTATCACTTAGTTCAATATTAACTATTGGTGAGATGTACAGGCAGTCACGAGACCCTTTAAGAATATAGCAACCAGCACATATTTGACACTTATTGAAACTATGCAAGCTATAGGTCAGCCTTTGGAGCCAAAGGTGAACATTTTTCTGCTTCTGTCCCTCATCAGGCACCATAAGACTTAAAAAAAAGAAAAAAAAAGAGGTTTGTCTGTAAGTCCCTCAGAATAATTAACAGGTTGCCTTTTCTGACAAAATCTATGGCCAGATAGAAACTTGCAAGTTGAAAAATTTGGAATCGTCTGACTTCCCACAGCTGCCCAAGACCTCGAGCAAATAGCTGCTCTCCTCCCTCCTTCCATTAGCCTTTTTAGAAAGGTTGGGTCACAGTCTCCCAGAAAAGGTACAAAGATAGGTGACAGGCCAAAACTCAATGCCAGACCTAGCTCTCAAGATGTCCCCTCTACTGGAGGCTCAATTCAGAACACTCAGCTGGCCGAGAAAGGCTTCTAGAAATGGCAGAGTGATTGACATTCTTCAGTGCTCATTTTCCAGCAAGGACGAATATTTTATTATATAATGAAGAAGTTATGTCTCCTGGCACCCAAAGAACTGATCTACAATGACAAATGTGCAACTTATTAAACAAATTCCACTGAGCCTGCAACACATACTAGTTGTTTTGTCAAGACACGTAGTTGCTTTACCACCAAGAGCCCTTTCCTCAATAGTTCCAGCTGGCAAATCTCACTCTCATTCGGATCTGTTACTTTGTAATCACACAAAGCTTCTCTGTGGGTTTTTAAAATGCAAAATAATTTGATGTACTCTCATTCCCTTTTGCTGCCGTGATTCTAGAAACCATAGCTAATTGTTGAAGCGCAAACCCATAATGCGAGTTTCTTTGGAGGAAAACAGAGAGCCCCTCCACAACATCCGTCACATACTGCCTCCTCTGCACTGGTTGCAGCTTGCTTAAGATGCACATCCTATTCCAGATGGCCAACAGGCACATGAAAAGATGCTCAACGTCACTCCTCATCAGGGAAACACAAATCAAAACCACACTCAGATATCACCTCATCCAGTCAGAGTGGCCAAAATGAACAAATCAGGAGACTATAGATGCTGGAGAGGATGTGGAGAAACGGGAACCCTCTTGCACTGTTGGTGGGAATGCAAATTGGTGCAGCCGCTCTGGAAAGCAGTGTGGAGGTTCCTCAAAAAATTAAAAATAGACCTACCCCATGACCCAGCAATAGCACTGCTAGGAATTTAACCAAGGGATACAGGAGTACTGATGCATAGGGGCACTTGTACCCCAATGTTTATAGCAGCACTCTCAACAATAGCCAAATTATGGAAAGAGCCTAAATGTCCATCAACTGATGAATGGATAAAGAAATTGTGGTTTATATACACAATGGAGTACTACGTGGCAATGAGAAAGAATGAAATATGGCCCTTTGTAGCAACATGGATGCAACTAGAGAGTGTTATGCTAAGTGAAATAAGCCATACAGAGAAAGACAGATACCATATGGTTTCACTCTTAGGTGGATCCTGAGAAACTTAACAGAAACCCACTCTCTTAGAGTGGAAGAGAGCCAAAGCATAAAAGACTCTTAAAAACTGAGAACAAACTGAGGGTTCATGGGGGGTGGGAGGGAGGGGAGGGTGGGTGATGGGTATTGAGGAGGGCACCTTTTGGGATGAGCACTGGGTGTTGTATGGAAACCAATTTGACAATAAACTTCATATATTGAAAAAAAAAATGCATATCCTAAACAGAGATGCCTGCTTTCCATTTAAATGGGTATGCACTCCCTTTGGTCTGCAGTGCTCACTTAAGCTCGTCCAGAAAACTTGGCTCTATATGTTATTAGAGTTTCTCCTTTTCCCATAAGGCACGTGAGATGGATGGTTGTGCCAATATTGAGCATAATCACCACAGCCATTAAATTAATTGGCATAAATGATGTGTTTGCTGAGGAGAAAAAGAATCATAAGTGGAAATACCTCCATGGAGAGTATCACATCATTGGACTAATAGGTTAAGCTTTGGAGAAGCTTAGGAAAGAGATAAGGATAGCAGTGGCTGCCTACTCTATGTATTTTACTTATACTCAAAGACATGTTGCAGGTGTAGCAGATAGAATGATCAATATATCTGGTAAAAATTCCTGAGAGGGTTTATATTCTCAAATTTTTAATGTATACAAATAGTAAGTTAAACAGTACAAGAAGATGTACTGTGAAAAGCCTTCCCAGCTCTGATCCCCAGATCCTAGTTCTCTAACCTTAAAGCAGAATCTGTTATTCTGATCTGTGCACACAGGTGTATAAGTATATATAGCCCTTATTTCACGTAAGTGGTAGCATATATACCTGTTGTTCTATGCCTTACTTTTATATCAAAAAATTTAAAGCAAGTGTATGAACAAATTGTCATGCTTTTTTTACTAGTCAAAAACAGTGAAAACTGGATAAAAAAATGGGTTGTCACTTACAAGTATGGGGTGGTCCTTCACAGATAATTTATAACTGAAGTGTGAGGTGACCTTCTAGTGGGGACAGTCTTCCTTACCTGAAGAAGATGCAGACAACCTGGCAAAGAAGGACAAAGCTAAACATGGGTGTCCCTTGATATCTTTTCCTCCTTAGTGTCTCCTTCTGTCTCTTCCTCCAGATCTTTCCCTCTGTGCCTTCCCCAGATCACCCATCCTGCCTCCCTACCCCTTTTCTGTCTCTCCCTTCTTCTGTAAATCACTCTCTCAGTTTCCTGAATACTGCTCTTCCTTGCTTTTGAGTTCTTCCTTCTTTTTTTTTTTTTTTTTAAATTTTTTTTCAACGTTTATTTATTTTTCGGACAGAGAAAGACAGAGCATGAACGAGGGAGGGGCAGAGAGAGAGGGAGACACAGAATCGGAAACAGGCTCCAGGCTCCGAGCCATCAGCCTAGAGCCTGACGCGGGGCTCGAACTCACGGACCGCGAGATCGTGACCTGGCTGAAGTCGGACGCTTAACCGACTGCGCCACCCAGGTGCCCCAAGTTCTTCCTTCTTTAGTTGGAATGGAGGAGCTACCTGTGGTATGGAGGGTCATGAAAAGGACAGTAAGGGTCACAGCAGGCTGGGTCTGGAGAGGATGACACTGAGCTGGTGATGGTGTGGAGAAAGTAGCCCCGGGGCTGGAATCAAGACCACCTTCCATTGCCTTCTTTACCTGCTCAGCTGTAAGAAATAGTGTTATCAGTCAGGGCTCAATCAGAGAGACAGAATCAGTAGGAAGCACGGGTAGGTAGATTGGTAGGCAGATATTAAGGGATTTGTCACAAGGAATCTTCTTATGCAATTGTGGAAGCAGGATAAGCAAGTCCAGAATCTATACAGTAGGCAGTCAAGAAGGAAAGAACACAGGTGGGGCTGGAACTCCACCCCCATGGGCACAGGCTAAAGCTATTGTCCACAGGCAGGGTCTCTGTTTCTTGTAAGGCTTTCCAACCTATTACCAGAATAACCTCCCTAGTTTACTTTTCTGATTAGAGACTTCACTTAAATTTGCAAAAGTCCTAGCAGCACCTAGATTAGTGTTTGATAGAATGACTGGAAGGAGACATGTGAATGCAACAAAATTTGGCTATTTTCATTCTCCAATTCTTACACGAAAATATGTCTTAGAGCCCACCTTATCCAAAAACATACTAGAGAGGGAACTCTGGCTAATACAGTTTAACCCAAACAAATTGAAACACTACAAAGTCATCACAAATAGTTAATGTACTGGGTAGTTGCTGAGCAAATGCCCCAGTTCTTGCCAGGCCAGACTCATCTTGGAAGAACTCACAGCTAATTATTGCTTCACTGCTGCTTTTGTAGTGTCTTTAAGGAATGGCATGACTGGAAGTAGAACATTCCACTATGCCTTTACTCTGCCTCAAGAGCTCCTCAACTCTTTGACATAGCTCAAGGATCACTTATTGAAGGGGAAGATAACTTCTGTTAAAAATATGTATTTTCTTTTCCATGCCGGAATTGGGATACAAGCCAAAGCAGAGATGTTACAGAAATAACTTCCGGTCTCCTTGTACTGGAAATCTTTGGTTTGCTCCCCCAGACCCCCCTTTCATCCTTCTCCACCTTTTCTACTTTGGGGCTCAGACAGGTTTGGGCAGGTTTGAACTGTATCAACAGTGCTTCCTTCCAAACTCTTTCTGGCTTCCAGTTGGGTTTGGCCAATGGGTGGCATTTGCAGGACACAGGGGAAAGGGAATGAAGTCCAAGTGAATTAAACCCTGGCTCCACTCCTTAGTTCACCCCGGGGCTGCTTGTATCTCTTAACTAAAGGGAATGCTCACCTCAAGGCAGCTTCTCTCCTCGTGCTTCTTAAATCATACATGGTGAAGACCAGGTATGAGACAATTAGAATTTAAATTTGAATTTCAAATAAACAGTACTTTTTTAGTGTAAGTATGTCCCAAAGTTTGCTTGAGAC